TGTGAATTCTAGTCTTCCCCAAAAATTTCTGTTATGTGTCTATCCTGCATCCTAATCCTTGTGTAATTAATAATTGTGATACATTCAAAACAATAGCAGTATAGCAAAGAGCTTCACTATTTATTTCAAGAACAAATGTGTGTAATGAATGACTTTTTCGTTTTCCCAGGGTTGAGGATTTAGTTCATTTTGTTTCTTACTTATCTAGTTTTATTCTGATAAAAAGTGGTTATGGTTAGGAATAAATACTAAGATGATTTCTTCATAATTACCTATTTTTAAATGAAATCCACCAAAAACTATAGCTGGGCAACTCCACTGATATCAAATTTTCAGGGGAGTAGATCTCAAGAAAGATTCATCTTTGAGCATTTGAGAATGGAAAATTAAAATAGTCGCTCAATAATAGACATGGCTAATATTGTAATTAATTTGTTTCACAACAAAAAATTAGATTTATCATGTATAAGATTTGTGTCCTGCCCTTGATGTTAAGGAAAGAACTGACTTTTTTTTTCTTGTTTTGGGATGATGGTCATGATGATAATATTGTGGCTGCTATTATAAAACCAATCTACATTTTTCATCTTTGGGGTTCCTATGTTAGAATAGGAAATTCTTATATAAAGTAGGGTAGCTGTGATAGAAAAATCTAAACCTAACCAGAGTAAGACTGATTTGTAATGGTTAAAATTTGGTGGCAAAAAAATGATCACATCAGAATTGCTCAAACAATAGTACTTTATTATCTTGTATTTTAGTCTTTTGCTTCTTACTTCATTGCCAATCTTACTTCAGTGCCAGTCATGTTTTCTGTTTCTGTGTAATAAATCCTTTCTTTACCCAATTTAAGAATTCACAACATGTGTGCATGTGCAACACATGCAATAATCAGGCAAGGAAGTTTGGCTGCAGGATGTTTTTTCCAAGGAGAAAAAACTAACAGGAAGAAAGAAGTAGATCCAGAAAAAATAACATCAATTTATTTCAAAAGAGAATTAAGCATTGTCCCATGTAAATAAATCTCTATATCACTAAAATTCTCCTGTCCTTTTATTTGTAATTTTCAATTAGGCAAAATGGTGCATGCTAGGGCAGAATTTTTGAAGGTATCTCAAATGCATTAAAAGAATGCAAACAAGAGATCCATTTCTCCTGTGGAATTGAAATTTCAAGTTACCTTCAGACCAGTTGTATTTGTAAACTTGTGGCCACTGCAGCGCTGCTGTGGTCAGCCATAGTCACACGATTATGATTTTTGATGCTCCCCATCAACTTCCCACAAGCAATATCAATGTGGAAGCTGGCAGGAAATTAGAAGTTGCTCCCACTCCCATTAATTTTTGCCCAATCATGGTTGTTCTATTTTTGGTATTCCTCAGGTATTTTTTTTACAATTTCACCTTTCTCTAGTTTAACTCTCAGATGGAAGTTCTATTAATTTAATAGGCTCTAATTCTTTTTTTTTTTCCAAAGAAATTTTATTGATTTTCATCATAAAAAAACAATCATAAGCATGAATAAACACAATAAAAAGTAAAATCCCCCACCCACCCCCCCGGACTTCCCAAACCTAATCCCAGGATAATATTCATATATAAATAAACAAATACTAATATCTCTAACTCCACAAAATATCTTAATCTACATGAAAAGATA